AGAGGGTGAGGGGGTTGGCGTAGGGCTGTGTTAGGCTCCCCAACACTTTGGTCTGGTTATTCACTTCAGGAGACCCAAATATTCTCAATTCACCAGGAGTGATCAAGCTTAGGCTAATTGATTTAACTAAAATTCCAAAGAAATTGCTCAAGAAAACAAAATGACTAGTTATTCATTTAGAATGAGAAATGACATTTAATATTCAACTGAAAAAAAGATCAGAGAATTTACTTTGGCCAGTCTGAACACTGTCTTCTCACTAAGACAATCTACTGGAGAAATTTAATTAAGAAGGCCATCAGGTAACTATTAAATGAGATGAATGGTCTTGAATAATCATATGTGCATTTTCAAGCTGGAATAACCAGATGACTCATGCTTGTCTAGTGGTCAGATGATCATTTCTACAGGTCAGAGTACCCTCTCTAACAGGGCCACAGACTTATTAAGAAGTTCTTATGCGTATGCACAACAGGTCCCTTCTCTATATTCTTCTCTGGGTATTCAAGTTGTTTTCATCATTCAAGGTTGTTGTCTACAAAAGACTCAGAAGAGGGCAATTAAGAATGAGAAGGATCTGAAATTCATCTCTGGTGGACATTACTGATTGCCTACCCAACATCCATTTCCCCTTCTCTCCTGACACAACTCCAGTTTAGCTCAGGTATCATGTTCGCCTAAGTTAATGAGAAGCTAATGAGGTGCACAGCTCCTGGGAAGCCAGCCTCACTCTCCTTAGTTGATGGAGGCTGAACTTGGTCTACCATCTGCACCAGCCTGCAGATGAAGCCTGTACCCAGAGGAGGGCTAAGTGAGAGGCTGACAGAGAAACAGACCCAGAGGCTCTGCCCGACGAAACTTTGGTCCAGCCTGCCATCCACCTCACCTCAGAACTGGAATATGCAGGACAACAGCTGTCTTTATTGTTTATGTGAGTTGAGCTGCATTTTTTATTACTTTCAGCCACTGGCAACCTCGCTGAAACACTCCCTCACTTGAGGCATATTGGAAGAGACAGGCATATTTGTTTGGTTTCCTGGGGCAGAAAACAATAAGCTTATCTCCTTAACAGAGTTATTTAATTAGACTCTGAACCAATGTAGGTGGAACAGGGACACTCAGAACCAAATCTCTAGTTAGCTAACTCATAAACTTCATTTCTTCCCATTAATAAAATCTCTCCAAATCCAAGAGAAAGAGAAGAGGAAAAGGTGAGATAATAAGACCAGTGCTAAGAGGTTAAAAGTTTTGCTCAGGACAGCTAGGCCAGTGGGGTCAGATTGTCATTCCAGTGTGGACGCTAGGGGCGGGGTGGGGAGACACGATGAGCATGGTGTTAAGGGAAGAGGGCTAAAAATTATATTATTCTAAAACACTGACCAAAGCCAGTCCCAAAGGTACCCAGAATTTCATTTCTCTTTCTCTCCTGGATTTCTGCATCATCCTTACCAGATAAGACTGCTTCAGCTTACTTTCTTTCTCTCTCTCTCTTTTTTTTTTTCTGGAGACAGTCTCATTCAGTTGCCCTAAGTAATGATAGCTCACAGCAACCTCTTTGTTAGGCTCAAGTGATCCTCTTGCCTCAACTGAGTAGCTGGAAAGAGCCCACCACAATGACTGGCTAGTTTGTCTGTTTTTAGCTGAGACAGGGTCTTGCTGTTGCTTAGGCTGGTTTCAAACTCCTGAGCTCAAGCAATTCCCTGCCTGGGCCTCCCAGAGTGCTAGGATTACAGGCATGAGCCACCATACCTGGCTCCCAGCCTGCTTTAACTTTCTTTAAAGCACAGAATCATAAGCTATGAATATTCTCCAAAATGCCTTGAAAATACTTGAATAAATAAAGCAAGGAGATAAAACAGGGGGACAGGCAGGGTAAAAGAAAGCTGACTCAGAAATTTATGTAAGCTGATTATGGAAAGAAATTCTTACTTGTTTTCTTAAATGCATTAAATGGAAGACTTAACCTGACATTCAGCCAGAGGCTTCCAATGATTCTACCATGACATTTGGCCTGAAGCAGAGAAGACATAGAGAGAGGAAAATGTGAAGGGAGACAACCGCCCCGGGAGGGCAGAACAGGAATGTGGGAGAGAATTCTCATCACCTGACACGAGTGCAGCCAAGTTAGAAAACAGGCAATTCCCTCCCCCAGATCCTTGGAGGGCTTCAAAGCCAGAGTTCCTGGAGGCACTCTAACCACATGCTGGCCAGTACTAGAGATACGCACATAATCCTGACCAAGCCCAGTAACTCTGGTTACTGACCCATTCCAGCTTCTCTAGTCCACTATATTGATAAGCTAATAAAAGCCATTTGCAACTGTTGGGAGCTGAGCTGACTCCTGGTCGGTCTCCATTCTGCTTTTTCCCTCTATTAAATTCTTTCCTTGTCCCTGGACTCACTTTCTCTCCTTTCTTTCTTTCTTTTTTTTTTTTAACATATACATGTGTTTATTAGGTTTCCACTTTTTGCCTTCACAAAATTAAAAAGGCTTAAAAATTAATAACAATAACAATGTTTAAGATAAGGACTAGAAACAAAAACCTCATAAAGAATGAATGAAGGTAAATACATTCAGAAAAGAAATCAGATAATTGCTGCATTGAAATATTAAGCAATAATAATAATAATGCAAAGAAAATAACAATCACATTGTCAAATAAGAGTATGTCTATTATAGAATGCTTTGACTCTAGGTCTAGTATGGAGTCATCAGTTTCTTAACCCCCAGACTCAATTCAAGCACTACTCTGAGAGTCCGAACATCGCTGCAAAGGCATGAGGAATTTTATTCAAGCTCAGAGCCTGGGCTGCCCTTTAAGAAAAAGCGGGAACAGCCCTTACAGACTATCCAGACAATTCCTTTATACCTCTCCCTCTTCCCTCCCATTAGACCATCCCACCCCATTCCCTTATTGGTAGGTAAACCAAGTCTGTCCCAAACTGACAGGTACAGGGTGGTCATGTTCAGGGTTGATTGGCTCAGGGACGAGTCTTCTTTGTCTCAGGTGAGCGAATGAGAAGGAAAGGATAAAGGTCGCAAGTGGGGCGAGTGCAGAGTAGAGTGCCGAGTGCAAAAAGGGGAGGGGGTCAGGATGTGGGCTGAGTGCACAAGGGGGCTAGTGGGACAAGGGGAGGGGTCAGGATGTGGGCTGTAACACCTAGGTATGATAAGGTCCTTGGTATGTGGCAGCCTATTGTCCTGAATAAACAAAAAAGGAGGTAGTTTGACTTGTGACTTGAGTTAATTAGTTTGGGTCTCACAAGTTAACTTATTATTTTTTTCTTCTCTCCTTTCTTATGGACCCTCAACCTGTTCTGTGCCAGAACCTCTCAAGAGGCAGAACAGAGGTGCCTAGGGCAAGAACCTCCCAAGTTTTCTTCTACTGCCTCTTGCCTCCCTCTGTCCAGGAAAAACATTTTCTTTGTGATTGATGGAAAAAACCAACTGGGGAAACTAATTGCAATTCCTATCTTAGACATATGGCAAACCCCCTCATGTTTAAAGACCTCCTAAATAGTGATAAGACAATGATTATCAACTCAGTAGAAAAATGGGCAAAAGATTTTAATATAGTTCACAGAAGAGCACATGCAATGACTCTTAAGCATCTGAAAAGATGTTCAACTTCACACATAACAAAAGGATGCAAATTAAAATCTGAGAGTTGGCTCAGTGCTTCATAGCTCAGTAGTTAAGGTGCTGGCCACGTGCACCCGGGGCTGGCGGGTTCAAACCTGGCCAAAGCCTGCTAAACAACAACGGCAACTACAAAAAAAAAAAAAAATTGCCAAGCGTTGTGGTAGGCACCTGTAGTCCCAGCTACTTGGAAAGCAGAGGCAAGTAAGAGGACAAGACCAACGCCATTTTATTGTTTACTGCATAAAGTCTGTTCCTAGCCTCTCCACCACCCTCCACTCCAATCTCCGCTGGTAAACCCACAGGGCCACTCCCTGCTACTCCCCCATCCCTGGTTGCACAACTGTCAACTGTTAATTGAGCCACCTTAGTGCAGCAATAACCGGGCTACTGCCATTTTAGGCACTAAGTCACCACTTAGAGCAACATCACCATATTAGGCACTAAGTTTCAGTTTCCTTGAAATTCAGGTATTCCCCTTCAACTACCCAATCAGGCTGCACCACCTCAGGCCCCCGATTAGGAAATCCCCCATCCCTCAACCTGTACCAATCCAAATCCTCCCTTACTAATGAAATCATCAACCACCAATCAAAAGTGTACTCGTATCCAACCCTACCCTTCTTGCTTTCTGTACCCCATAAAAACCTTCCACACCCCAGGTTCGGGACTCTTCCTCGGCTTGCATGCCAGGAAAGTCCAGGCCCGGGCTTGAATAAAGCTCACCTCTTGCTTTTTACATCGGAGTGTGTCTCGGACTGTCTGTTGGGGCCACTTGGGGAAATTTTGGGCACAACACAAGAGAATGGCTTAAGCTGGAAAGTTTGAGGTTGCTGTGAGCTGTGACACTACAGCATTCTACTGAGAGTGACATAGTGAGACTCTGTCTCAAAAAAAAAAAGACAAATAACTCAATATAAAAATGGGAAAGAGATTTGAAAAGGCACATCACAAAAGATTAGGAATGGCCAATAAGACACAAAGCCCAGACAAGGAGAAAATGGCGGCAGAGATGGCAGTGACAGAGATCAAAACACAGGAGGAGAGCAGCCCCCTGGAGCACCAAGCAGCAATGGGGCTCCAGGCCCTAAGGGGGAAGGAGAAGGACCTACTCAGAAGAAGAAGAAGAGGGAGAAAAACGTAAAAAGAGGAAGCAATCATTTTGAGCCATATGCCAATCCAACTAAAAGATCCAGAGCCTTCATTACAAACAGACCTTTTGACGTGAAATGGCAGTCACTTAAAGACCTGGTTAAAGAAAAAGTTGGTGAGTTAACACACATGGAGCTCTTAATGGATGCTGAAGGAAAGTCAAAGAAGTTGCAGAAGTCCTACACAAGCACAGTCTGAGTGGAAGACCACTGACAATCAGAGAAGATCCTGATGGTGACCATGCCAGGAGAGCAGTGCAAAAGGTGATGGCTATGACTGGCAGGATGGGTATGGGACCAGGTGGCCCAGGAATGATTAATATCCCACCCAGGATCCTAAATAATCCTAACATCCCAAATGAGATGATCCACGCATTACAGGCTGGAAGACTTGGAAGCACAGTATTTGTAGCAAATCTGGATTATAAAGTTGGCTGGAAGAAACTGAAGGAAGTTTTTAGTATGGCCAGTGTGGTAGTGTGGGCAGACGTTCTTGAGGATAAAGATGGAAAAAGTCGTGGAATAGGCACTGTCACATCTGAACCGTCCATTGAAGCTGTGCAAGCTCTATCTAAGTTCAATGGCCAACTGCTATTTGATAGACCGATGCATGTCAACATGGACCAGAGGGCCTTACAAAGGGAGATGTTTTCCCTCCTGAGCATCCACAACAACTTCCTCATGGTCTTGGTGGCATTGATATGGGGTTAGAACCAGGAGGGCAGCCTATTGGTGCCAATCACCTGAATAAAGGCATTGGCATGGGAAACTTAGGACCTGCAGGAATGGGAATGGAAGGCATAGGATTTGGAATAAATAAAATGGGAGGCATGGAGGGACATTTTGACCATGGCATGGAAAACATGAATGGCCATTTTGGATCTGGAATGAATATGGGCAGAATAAATGAAATCCTAAATAATGCACTGAAGAGAGAAGAGATCATTGCAAAGCAAGGAGGAGGTGGAGGTGGAGGCAGTGACCCTGGAATCTAGAGGATGGGCCCTGGTATTGATGGCATTAGTGGTGCCAGAATGAAGAGCATGGGTGCAGGCTTGGGCCAGGCATGGATCGTGTGGACTCTCAGATTGAGTACATGGGCCTAGTCATGGACCACATGGGCCCATTGAGCATACGGGCTCTGGCATTGAGCTCATAGGCCCACTGGGCCTCGACCACGTGGCCTCTAGCATCGAGCGTATGGGCCAGACCATGGAGCACATTGGCTCTGGCATGGAGGGGTGGGCGGTGGCATGGGCTTGGGCCTCAAGCACGTGGCCACTCCCATCAACCATGTGGGCCAAACCATTGAGCACATGGGCTCTGGTGTGGAGCGCATGGGCCTGGGGCGCATGGGCCCCGCCATGGGCCCAGCCTTGGGTGCTGGCATTGAGCACATGGGCCTGGCCATGGGTGGTGGTGGCAGAGGCGGTGCCATCAAGATGGAACGTGGCAACTTTGGTGGAAGCTTTGCAGGCTCCTTTGGTGGCGCTGGAGGCCATGCTCGTGGGGTAGCCAGGAAGGCCCACCAGATATTTGTGAGAAATCTCCCATTTGATTTTACGTAGAAGATGCTAAGGGACAAATTCAATGAATGTGGCCACGTGCTGTATGCTGACATCAAGATGGAGAATGGGAAGTCCCAGGGGTGCGGTGTGGTGAAGTTTGAGTCTCCAGAGGTGGCTGAGTGGACCTGCTGGATGACGAATGGCACGAAGCTGAGTGGCCAAGAGGCTGATGTTCGAACTGATAGAAACGCATAAGCAGTTGCCTTTTTTAAACATCCATACCAGACCTCTGAATTTGTATTTTTTTCTTGTTAACCATTTTAATTTGTTGGCTGGATATATAAAGACATTTAAAAAATTCAGTGGCTTTTGGGGTAATTTGAATTACTCTTTTAATGACTGGGATTCCATTTGACTGTTTGCATTGAGATTGCAATATGAGCAATTTTTTTTTTTTTTTGTAGTTGTGGCATCTCGTTGACATCAAATATGACTTTGATAATAAATACCAGCTCCTGGGGGAAAAAAAAAGGAATGGCCAATAAGCACATGAAAGATCATTAATGGTCAGGGAAATGCAAATCAAATCTACACCCACTAGAATGGCCAAAATACAAAAAAATGGCAATTTTAAATGCTGACAAGAATATGTGACCATTGCATTGCCATACTTTGCTGATGCGAGAGGAAAATGGTACAACCACTTTAAAAAGCTAGCTTCTCCTCAAGTTAACATATATCTTATCACATTGCTCAGAAATTCTACTTCTTGAAAATTACTGAAGAGCCATGAAAATATATCAACACAAAGAAATCTGTAGATGATTGTTTGTAGTTGCTTTACCCATAATGGTCCCAAGCTGGAAACAACTCAAATGTCCATCAACATGTGAATGAAAATCAAACAAAAAAGACTTGGTAGGGCGGTGCCTGTGGCTCAGTGAGTAGGGCGCCGGCTCCAGATACCAAGGGTGGAGGGTTCAAACTCGCCCCCAGCCAAACTGCAACAAAAAAATAGCCGGGCGTTGTAGCGGGTGCCTGTAGTCCCGGCTACTTGGGAGGCTGAGGCAAGAGAATTGCCTAAGCCCAAGAACTGGAGGTTGCTGTGAGCTGTGATGCTACGGTACTCTACCAAGGGTGATAAAGTGAGACTCTGTCTCTACAAAAAAAAAAAAAAAAGACGTGGTATATTCATTCATTCAGTGGAATACTACTCTTCGATAAAAAGCAATTCAACAAATTGATACAGGATTCCACCACTCAGGGCTGGACAGAGAGACACCCATTCTCTAGGCCCAGGTGAGCTCAGAACACACCCTCTGGGCGGCACCTGTGGCTCAAAGGAGTAGGGCACTGACCCCATAGGGTCAGTGGGTTCAAACCCAGCCCCCCCCAAAAAAAACTACAAAAAAAAAAAAAAAGAACACACCCTCTGGGCTCTAACAAAACAAAAGCAGCCTGAGATGATGGTTTTCTGGGTGATTCCACCTTGAGTGGTAAGCACACACCCTAATCCCTTCTCAGAGACAAAACCTGTAAAAGACCTGATAACCTTGCCCCAGTAGAGGAAGAACTACATGGATTCTTTTGTTATGCACTAATTAACTCTGAAAAGATGTTTTTTACCTACCAAGTCCTGGCCAAGTGTAATTCTCAAGACCTAAACATAGAGACTCCCTACTGTAGTTCTTTCACCCTTCAAGAAGCTCTGGTGCTTTTTACTTCTGTATTTCTTTCTAATTTTCTAATAAAAATCCTGTCTTGCGAGTAACACCTGTGCCTCAAAGGAATAGGGCTCCGGCCCCATATACCAGAGGTGGCTGGTTCAAACCCAGCCCCGGCCAAAAACTTCAAAAAAAAAAATCTTGTCTTGCCACTGATCTGTAGTCCGTGTGTTCATTCTTTGAATCCCTGAGACCAAGGACCTACTGAAGAGTGAAATTCCAGTATCAAAATGAATCTCAAAAAACATGCTAAGCAAAAGAAGGCAGTTTTAGAATAATACACATGATGCCATTTCTGTGAAATTCTAAAACAGGCAAAACTAATTTATACTAATAGAAATCAGAGTAGTGATTTCCTCTGACAGGATGGAGAGAGTTTATATTGGGCAAGGGAATGAGTAAACCTTTTGGAATGATGGAAATGTGTATTTTGATTGATTCAAGATTCTTTGATCTGTATAAATACTGTGTTTCCCCAAAAATAAGACCTACCCAAAATATAAGCCTAGAAGGATTTCTTTGCATTTGTTAAATATAAGCCCTACCCCAATAATAAGACCTAGTGATGGGCGTGGCTATGCAGATACGCCATGCATTTCAGCTGGGAGAGGAAGAAAATAAGCCCAAGTGTGTCTTCTTGAGAAAAAATAAATATAAGACAGTGTTTTATTTTCGGGGAAACATGGTAATATGAGACCATTCTATTGTATAAAAATGATAGCTCAAGAAAGATAGTTTTAAAACCACACCAAAATACACTTTATCAAATTGACAAAATCCCAAAAATTTGATGAAATATTCTGTTGGCAAAGCTGTGGGGAAAAGGGACTCTTGGATATTCTTGATGGTAGTACAGATTAGAACAACAGTTATGGAGGGCAATTTGCCAAATCAATAAAAATTACAACTGCAAATGCCCTTTGATTTAGCAACTAACCTTTGGGGGATATATCTTAAAGGAACACTTGTACATATACAAAATAACATAAGGATAAGATTTTTCACTGCAATATCATTCAGATTAGCAAGTATGAAAACCGCCTTTTTGCTACACAGCTCGAGTAAAGGCAAAAAACAAAAGAAGAAAACAACCTAAATGTCCATCAATAGGAGAATTCTTTTTGTTGTTGTTTTTTAAAATAGTCAAAGCTGAAGTCTCTTCCTTTTTTTTGTTTGTTTTGCTTTTTTTCTGAGACAAAGTCTCACTCTGCTGCCTGGGCTAGAGTACAGGGGCATCATCATAGTTCACTGAAACCTCAAACTCCTGGGCTCAAGTAATCCTCCTTCCTCAGTCTCCCAAGTAGCAGTAACTGTAGGTGCATGCCACCCTGCCCTGCTGATTTTCCTATCTTTTTTATAGAGACAGGGTCTCACTACATTGCTCAGGTTGGCCTCAAGCAATTCCCTCACCTTGGCCTCCGGAAGTGCTATAATTACAGGCATGAGCCACCAGGCCCAGCCAAATTTTCTTAAATTGCGGTGTTATTATGCCCTGTGGCAAAGAGTAGCTATACAAAAAAAACAAGGTATTGGCTCGGGGCTTACAGCTCAGCACTAGGGCACCTGCCACATACATTGGAGCTGGCAGGTTCGAATCCAGCCCGGGCCTGTCAAACAACAATGACTACTACAGCCAAAAAGTAGCTGAGTGTTGTGGCAGACACCTGTAATCCCAGCTACTTGGGAGGCTAAGGCAAGAGAATTGCTTAAGTCCAAGAGTTTGAGGTCTCTGTGAGCTGTGACACCATGGCACTCTACCAAGGGCAACATAGTGAGACTCTGTCTCAAAAAACAAACAAACACGGCATTCTTTCTAATGATAAAGATCTCCAAGATATATTGTTAGGTCAAAAAGGCAAGGTACAGGGCAATATGTTTGTGCAAAAAAAGGGAAGGGATTGAAATTTTTTCACCTGCTTGTATAATATATGCATAAAGAAACTGCACAAATATATACCAGTTGTTATAGATCTGAGGCAAAAGACATCATAATGGAAAAAAGGAGGGCTGAAGGGAAACTGAGCAGATGGAGATGAAGATTCTCGTTGCTTACTCGCTTACTTTTAAATGTATTTTTTAGTTTTGAATTATGAGATGTAACATCTATTCAAGAATTTAAAACTATTTTTTTAAATAGAGACAGAGTTTCATTCTGTCACCAAGGGTGTCAAGTACCATGGTGTCATCATAGCTCACAGCAACCTCAAACTCTGGGCTTAAGCAATCCTCTTGCCTCACCCTCCCAAGTAGCTGGGACTACAGATGCCCGCCACAACATCCAGCTAGTTTTTCTATGTTTAGTAGAGATGGGGTCTCACTCTTGCTCTGGCTGATCTTCAGCTCCTGAGCTGAAGCAATCCACCTACTTTTGCTTCCCAGAGTGCTAGGATTACAGGTGTGAGCCACCAAGCTTGGTCTAAAACATTTTTTTTCTCTCTGAGACAAAATCAAATAGCTCCTGTGGCTCAAAGGAGTGGGGCCCCGGCCCCATATACTGGAGGTGGCAGGTTCAAACCCGCCCCAGGCCAAAAACTGCAAATAAATAAATAAATAACAAAGTCACCCAGGCTAGAGTGCAGTGGTGTGATCAAGGCTCACTGCAGCCTCCAATTCCTGGGCTCAAGCAATCCTCTCTCCTTAGCCTCCCAAAGTGCTAGGATTACAGTTGCAAGCCACCACATTGGTCAAATAAAACATTTTTTAAATTCAGCAGTACAAAAAGTTATTAAAAAGCAAGAAAAGGAGAGGAAGGTAAGGAAGGAAAGGGAAGAGAAAAGCCTCCCAATCTTATCTCACCACCCAGGACAGCCAACATTAACATTAGATGATCAACTGATCCAGCCTCCCCTGGATGTGTGTCCAAGCTGTATAATTCCTCCCCTAGCCTAGATGGTGGGGGCTCTCGCACCCATCTCTCCCCGGCATTGCACACATGACCAATGTCTGGGGAAGATAGAATCACTTTGGGAAGAACAGCCAACTGTTGCTAGCTCACCGTGTCACATCTGTTACGCTCAATACTAGCCACTTGAAGGCACCAGTTATTTCTGCAGTTACCCAAGGACGTCTCAGGTGTGTTAACAAACAAGTCCTGAGCCTGAACTGCCCCTTTTCCTCCCTCTCCAACTTTCCAGGTTCAGGCCCCTCCAGTGATAGTTGCTTTGAGGAACTTGGCTGAGGACAAAGCATTGTGAAGGCACATTGCAGCTTCTGTTTCCTGCTGGGCCCTTCAGGCAGCCAAAGCAAGGCAATGTTTTGTGACAATACAGGATGGACAGTTTCTGTCTGGAATGTTTCCCAGAGAGCCCTGAAGCAGGGCTGTTTCTGCACTAACAT